AGTGCAACAATGAATGAATGAAAACCCAAAATCTCTGTAAATGTTCATTAAAACTAATAAAATTTAATAATAATAATAATAATAAAAAAATGATAGTGCCTGTTCTGAACTGTTGCCAAAATGCAGCCAAGGCCAGGGGTTAAGAAGCTGGCTCAGGACTGAGTTCCATCCAAGGCCTGTGTGGTGCTTTTGCTGCTGTCCCTAAAATCTTAGCTTTACCCAAATCTCAGATCAGCCTAGGTCCTATGTGATTCTAGGGGAATCCCTGTCCTGTACTAAGGATTAGTGCACTTGACTGCTAACTGGAAGGTTAGAAGTTCAAGCACAGCAGAAGAAACGCTTGGTGATCTGCTTATCAAAGGGTCACAGCTTTGCAAACTGTAACAGCCCTAACATGTGGGATCAACCATGAATCAGATCCTACCACCAGCAACAAAAGCCACATGGACCTGCTCATTCATCCTCTGCGTAAGACCAGGCTCTGGCTCAAAGGGACCCTCTGGTGGATTTCCAGGGCTGTAAATCCTGACGAGAGGACGCTGCCCACCTTTCTCCCACAGAGCCCCTGGTGGGTTCGAACTGCCGGACAAGTCTCTTCCATTTTTGGAGACCTAAATTTCCTTTCCTTAAAAGAAACTGATGTAGCAGCACAGTCCGCTCCAGGCTGCGCCACCAGAGCTCCCAGGCCCTCGAAATACGAGCAGCTCAAATTGACATGTTTGCTTTGACTGTAAAATGTACACAGCATTTCAAAGACTTGATAGAACAACAAGAATGTAGACTATCTCATTGGTAGCCTTATACTGACTGCATGTCAGCTTGGTAATATTTTGGACACTTTGGGGCTAAATTAAATATGTTATTAGAATTCAGTTACCTGTATGGCTCTTGTTATTTTTCTGTGAGACAGTGCTGCCTCTGATGAAAATGCGACCATTGCACATGACAGTTGAAGGAGCAACAGGGACTCTTTTATATGCATCGTAAAACAAAGTCAGGCTTACTGAGGAATGGTTTTTTAAAAGCTCTTATAAAGAAAACTGACTGTGCTTGAAAAAAAAAAATCAAAGCCATTTCTTTGACTTAAAGTTGCAATTGTAGTTTCGTTTCTAATACTCTATAAATCCCATTCATTCGATGTTTAAGTTGACAATCATTATTTTCTTCTTTTTTTTTTTGTAGTGACAAGTTCACTAGATTTTGTCAGTGGAAAAACGTAGAACTAAATATTCATGTAAGTATCATCCTACCCTCCTCTTAAAAAAGAAAATATTTCCTCGGGCTCAGCTGCGTGAGAAAATCCTTCATTCTGGCAAGCAGCCCCCAGGGACGGCACACTGTTGAAATAGATTCTTCTTCCATCTGTGTGCATTGAAACCCATCCTCTCGTGCCCTAATACACTTCATTTCATCCTCTTCACCCGCCTTCATACAGGAATGCACCCACTGTATTGAAGAAAGGGCATTCTAAACAGCAGTTGACCTTTTAACAGACATAGTATTAAAAACATGCACATGTGCCTAAATATCATCCCACTTGTTTGTGTCTTTGTTCGTCCTGGTCAAGTTCCTTTTCTTTTCCTTATTGCTGGAGGGAAGTCATGTGGTAAGAATGACGACTTCTCTTACAAGGCCGAGGTTTCATCTTCCTTTATATTATTTGGGGGGGGAAGCAGCCCTCGGAGCCCGACCCCTACCTTCCGTGCGTTTCAGGAGCTTCACCTCCTCACTTAGCTGTTACCGTCAGTCACTCGAGGGCAGGATCTTTATTTGTAAAGGGCACATTTCTTTGTACAGACTCTGTGACCTTTTTCTTCCCGGTTCTCCCTTCACTCAGACTTGCCACTGCGCAAAAGAAATAATCAGCTGGACTTCTTTATTTTTTAAAGTCTTTCCCTTGAATGCTACTTTTGGGAGAGAAGTCTTTTAAGCTCCTTTTCCCGTTACGCTGTTTCCTGGCAGGATTTGGAAGAAATAGGAGACAGCAGCACAAGTTTTGCAAACATCCTCATTTCACTTTGGGATCTTTCTCTTGCTTCTTTGTGAAACCTTCTGTCCTGGGAGACTGGGGACATCAGGAGTGGAACCCCTGCCTGTGAGCAGGCTGTGGGCTTGACACTCCAAAGGCTGTCCAACATTGGGGAACAACCCTCGTAAGAATGTGAGCATTAGGGAGCTCTGGTGGCCTAGTGGCAAGGCGGTGCACTGCAATCCCAGAGGTGTGTGGTTCAAATCTACCAGATGCTTTGCTGGAGAATGAGGGGCAATCTCCTCCTGTACCAGTTAGATCTGATTTGACGGTACACGTAAAAATAATACAATAAAAGTTAAAAATAAAAAACAGCACAACAATGTGAGCTTTCTTTAATTCACGGGATGCCAGACAACAGCCCAGTGTTGTTGTCTTATATCGCTAGTAAACGAGGTTCACTTTCTGTCACTCTACCATTTGATGTCATTTTTAAAACAAAAATAAAAAATCACACCTCATGGCCATGGAGTTAGAACCAACTCCCTCTCCAACACCCTCTTCAGAGGCTCTAAATTGCGTGGGAGGAGATTGCCTATTCTCCTGCCTCAGAGCAGCTGATGGATTCGAACTGCTTGCCTTTGGGTTATCAGTACAACTCCTTACTCACTAAGCCACTTAGGACATGGGGCCGTTACTGAGATATTATTGACAAGAGGATGAAGCTGAGGAATAAAACCTCTCTCTTACACCTTGGCTCTTGCTGCACGTGTACGAGACCAGCATGAGCCCTGTCCATCCGCTGAGGTTCTGGATGGAAAAGTCACGTGACCAGCATTGTCCAGGTGCCCGGGCATCTGGCTCACACTCTGCAAACACAGGTGCCTCATCATAGAGTCCTGCTGTTTAGGTGACAGGACCAGGAACTAACTGCTGGCTTGTTCCCAGAGATCAGGTTTCAGAGTAGCTGAGGCCCCTTTTCATGTGTTATTAGAATGTCTCACTCACTTGCCTCCTGTGCATACAACTAGTACTTAGAGCTTTCTTGAGGCTGTGAAAACTATTTCCCTGGGTTCCTGCTCTGCCTTCTTCCCACTTGCCTCTACTGAGTTCCTCAGTCACATTGGAGAAAGGTACTAGAAAGTTCCGCCACCCTTTGTACCCACCTATCAGCTTGAGTCATGAAGGAACATTACTGGCATAGCGGTTAAAATGCTTGGCTTTTAACCAAAAGGTCAGCAGTTTGAACCCCTGGCTGCTCCGTGAAAGATGCGGCAGTCTGCATGCGTGAAGAGTCCTGGGAGGAGCTGTTTTGTGCTGTCAAGTCCTCTGTGCCTCAGCGCGTCCCTGTGGATAACGGATCTGAGCCTTGCCCATCCTGCTCCGTTTGTACCATCAGCACCATTTCAGTCCGTCTGTCAGTCCTTCTTGCTGAGGGTCTTCCTTTCTTTCTCCACTTTTCTCAGCTTGAAGATATGGGGGGTTTTTTTGTTTTTTTTTCAAGGACTATGAAGGGTCGAGTTGCGATTTGGATAACGGTCCATATTTTGCATAAAACCAAAAGCACTTTTTAAAACATCGCTTTAATGCTGTCTCTCCTTCTCCCTTGGTGCTTTGCGTCCACAGTTGACCATGAACGACTTCAGCGTGCACAGGATTATTGGACGAGGAGGATTCGGTGAAGTGTACGGCTGCCGGAAGGCTGACACCGGGAAAATGTAAGCTTCCTGTGCGAGTTCCGTTTTCACTGGAACTATTAAGGGTTTGCATCCAAAGGACATGCCTGCGGAGAAATTGAGGAGGCCTTTGATCTTGCTCTTGAAGCAAGATGTATCTCACTGCCTTTAAGTCAGTTCCAACCTGATGACACAGTCCAAAAAGAACCACCCCCTGGAGTTTTACATCATATGTTTTAAATCATGTAGCACATCACCTACCTTGTTGTTGTTGTTGTTGTTGTTGTTGTACATTGTCAAGTCAGAACCAACTCATAGCTGACCCTCACGCAGATTTTCAGATGCTGTAAGTTGCACAGGAAGACATTGCCCATCTTTCTCCAGCAGAGCAACTGGTGGATTTGAACCGTGTGCCTTTGGGTTGGCAGTGCAACTCCTTACCGTAAGGCTCCAGAAGTGCAATCAAGTCAGTTCTAACATGTAACAACCCCATGTGCAGCAGACCAAATGTTTGCCCAACCCTGCACCTCCTCACGGTCTCCACCACGTTCAAGGTCATTGTTGCAGTCACTGGGTCAGGCCATGTTGTTGAGGGTCTTCCTCTCTCTTGCTGACTTCCCTACCCCAAGGGATATACTATGTTTCCACAGACACCCCTCCACAGCCTCATCCTCTTAGGAGAAGATTCCTTCTCATTGATTAGTTGCACAGGAGACTTTGGGGACCTGAATGATGCATGTGTAATAAGTTATGTTTCATTGGGTTTTTTCCAACCTTTACAGCTTGTGGAGACATTGAGAATATAATATCTGTCACATGATGTCACTATTGTAAATAACATCCATTTATCTCCATACACATTATTTCTCTTGTTGTTGTTGTTATGTGCTGTCGAGTCGCTTGCGACTCATAGTGACCCTATGTACAACAGCCTTAAACTCTGCTATGTCCTGTGCCAATTGCACTGTCTCTGGCACAGCCATCCTGATTACCCCAGTCACTGAATCAATCCACCTCATAGAGGGCCTTTCCCTCCTGTACTGTCCCTGCACCCTACCAAGTGTTTATTTCTCTTAGGTCTCAAAAAACAGCGAGCATGATAAATCTTCTTCTCTGTGCTCCATAGATTGTCGGACGCTTAACCAAAGCCACACAGGTAAAACATAGCCATGCCTCTACACTGGTGAATCCAAGGTCATGTTCTTTCAGGTCTCCAGGCTGCCAGTTATACATGTGTTGGCCTTACGGGCTCTGCATCAGCTAACTGCACTGGCAGCGTTAGGGGCCTGTTCAGTGACCTCTCTGCTGTCTTGCAGACAGAGCCTGAGAAAGCTTCTGCTAACCTAATGGTTCAAGGCCTGTGTACACAGCTTTCTCTGATCTGCAGTCTTAAAGGGTTTATGAGAAACCAGCTTTGCAGAAGTTAATGCTAGAAGTCACATGAAGTATTTTGGAAATTCTTTACAATAAAAAAAAAAGGAACTGTTTAAAGACCCTCTTTGTATTCTCAATATGTGGTGGTGGTGTTGTAGCTATTACATACCACTGGGTTGGAACTGACCCATAACTGACCTCACAGCAGGTTTTCAGAGACAGTAAAGCTCGTGGGAGCAGATTGTCCATCTTTCTCTCACAGAGTCACCAGTAGATTCGATCCGTGTACCTTTTCACTCTTGGCACTATTTCTTACCACTAAGTCATCAAAGCTCAGTGTCATCATGTTGTTGTTGTTGTTGTTGTTGTTGAGCACCATCAAGTCAGAACCGACCCATAGCTGACCCTCCAGCAGGTTTTCAGAGGCAGTTAATCACGCGGGAGGACACTGCCCATCCTTCTCCCGTGGAGCAGCTGGTGAGAGTCAAACTGCCTGCCTTCGAGATTGCAGCACAGCTTCTTGTCAGCCCTGTCTGTGCACATGAGAGTTCCTGAAAGTATAGATTAAAAAGGAAAAAAAAATCCAAACCACCCTCCCAAGCATGACGTCCCTCTCCAAGGACCGGTCCCTCCTTGCAACATGTCCAAACTTTGTCAGACGAAGCTTCAGAATCCTTGAATCCAAGGAGCACTCCGTCTTCACCCTCTCCAGGACAAGCCTGTTGTTCTCCTAACAGTTCATGGTATACTCAACACTCTTCTCCAGCACCACAGTTCAAAGGCGTCAATTCTCCTTCTTTCATCCCTAGTCATTGTCCAACTCTCTGATGCATAGCAAGTGATTGCAAAGACCATGACCTGTATCAGACGCACCTTAGTCTCCAGACTGACATCATTGTTCTTCAGTACTTTGGAGAGGTCTCTTAACAGCAGACTTTCCCGACGCAATACATCTTTTAATGTCCCGGCTGCAGGTGCTGAGAGTGTTGACTGTGGACCAAAGCAAACTAAAGCTGTGAACAATCTCAATCTCTTCCCCATCCATCATGTTGTATTAATACCCCTCCAGCACACGCAGTGTGCAGCAGCAGTGTATAAAAACATGATTTCATGGAATTTATTTCTTTCCCCACGTTTGTACACTACTCAACTTGGACTTCTCCGTGTGTAATGATAGATACACTGGCTTCATTTTTTCCCGTCTTCTTGCTGGTATGTGCTGCTGAGTGGGAACCGGTTCATAACTGACCCTCCATCGGGTTTTCAGGGCGGAGTAAACTGCCCAGCTTTCTCCCGAGGTGCATCTGGCAGATTTGAACCGTGTGCCTTTGGGTTGGCAGCATAACTCCTTACCACTAAGCCACCAGAGCTAGGCCTGCAGAGAATAAAACCATCTTCCTGCTGGCATTTTGCCCCTTTTCAGGATTGTTGAGTCTGCGGGAGCCCTGTCCCACCTGAGGGGTGCTGTGGAAATGAGTCGAGATCTCTGTGCAATGTAGATTTCCGACGTCCTTTGTGTTTTCAGGTATGCCATGAAATGCTTAGACAAGAAGAGGATCAAGATGAAGCAAGGGGAAACCTTGGCCTTAAACGAGAGGATCATGCTGTCCCTTGTCAGTACCGGAGTAAGTATTCCTCTCTAAGCTCTGCCTTTCTGTCGTTATAGAGGAGAACGATTTCCTTAAATAGCTAAGCAGCTCCTTCCAACTGATTACTGTCTGATTGCCATTTTACAGACTACAGGCCCAATATTTTTTGGCTTTAACCTAAACACAGGCTGTGTTATGGCTTACGCTTGTCTTGCATTCAAGCTGGTGGCCTAGTGGGTAAGGAGTCTCCTTACCAACTCAAAGGCTGGGGGGTTTGAATCCACCGACTGCTCCACGGGAGAAGGATAGGCAGTCTCCTCCTGTGTATTTTACAGCCTCCAAAAACCCACTTGAGGGTCAGTTGTGAGTGGACAGCCACTCAGAGCCGCCTAACAAAAGGGCTAGTTTTCATTGAAACAAACAAATGACAGTTTAGCTAAACTATTACAAGCCATGCCTTCAGTTGTGGTTGTGGAGAAAAGGATTGAATGTACTTACTGTGGACTGCCCGGAGAACAAACAGGTCTGTCCTGGAGAGGCTCAAGTCAGGTTCCTCCTAGGAGGCAAGGATTTTGAAGCTCCATCTCACATAATTTGGGTATGTTGCAAGGAGGGACCAGCCCTTGGAGAAGGACATCGTGTTTGGGTGGGTGGAGAGACAGCAGAGGAGAGAAAGACCCTGGATAAGATGGCTTGACACAGTAACTGGGATAATTGGGTTAGGTGTGTCGGAGACAGTGAGATTGGCCCAGAATAGGGCAAGGTTCAAAGCAATAGTACATAGGGTTGGGTTACTTTGAGTCACAGGTGACTTATGGTACGTAACAACTACAACAACACAAATATAATCTTTGGCAGCCTAGTGGGTAAGGAGTTGCACTACCAGCCCCCAAAACGAGTGGTTCAAATCTACCAGCTTCTCTGAGGAAGAAAGATGGGTGGTTTATAGCCTCTGAAGACCCACTGGTCTTCACCAATGACAGTTCTGTCTTGATGGCAATGAACAGCTTAACAGATAAAAGTGGACCAGCACTCCCCTGGTGGCCCACAGAGAGTTGTGTTTGTCATCTAAAGGCTGCCTGTCTCCAGTGGTTTGGATTTACCATCTGCTCCCAAGGTGAACTACAGCCGGTCTCTAGACTCTCAATGCCCCATTGCAATTTCCAGCCTCATTTCCTCATCAGTGGTCCCTGTGAATTAGAAGTGTTTTGACAGCTGTGAGTTTGACTTAGCTGATAAAGAACCTGGTGGTGAAGTAGGTTTAGTATTGGCTCCTACCCAAAAGGGTGGCAGTTAAAGCTCTCCAGCCCCCTCCATGGACGGAGGATGGACAGTCACCTCCCATCAAGATTCACAGCCTCGAAAACCCAGTGGAGCATTGATGTAAGTTGGAACAGTGATTGCATGATTGTTGTTTGTTGTTGTTATGTGCTGTCGAGTTGTTTGCGACTCATAGCGACCCTATGTACAACAGCCCTAAACCTGCTCTATCCTGTGCCAATCGCACTGCCTCTGTCTGACACACCCATCCCAATTACCCAGTCACTGAATCAATCCACCTCATAGAGGGTCTTCCCCTCCTGTGATGTCCCTCCACACTACCAAGCATGCTGTCCCTCTCCAAGGACCTGTCTCTCCTTACAACATGTCCAAAGTATGTTAGACGGAGCCCCAGAATCCTTGCCTCCAAGGTTCATCTCTCCACGATGAATCTGTTTGTGTTCTTGGCAGTCCATGGTACATTCAATACTCTTCTCCAGCACCACAGCTCAAAGGCATCAATTCTTCTTCTGTCCTCCCTAGTCATTGTCCAACTCTCTTGCATGATAAAAAAGAAAAATTCTATGAAAAATACGTTCTGGTTACATGCATGTCTTCTGACTTAAGGACAGCAAAGATTCCAAGTACTAGTTCTCCTGGTGGTTAAAAGCTGGTGTGGGAGATTCCAGAATGAAAGTTGCATAGTGGAGTGTACTCGGGGCTTGGGGGTTGTATACCAGTGAAGGAATTTTTCTTTTACTTTTCAAAGAGAGGAGCAGGTTTTCAGAGGCTGTAGAGCACGTGGGAGAAGATTGCAGTTAGTGGATTCCAACTACTAGGGACACCACCTTCAAGTAAGAAACACAGCTCACTATGGATTAAGCTACCGCAACAGGGTTTTAAATAAAATTGACATTGTTTAAATAAATTGTCATTGTTTTTGCAAAACAAAGGCTTGATATTTTTTATATTGTGAGTGATCCTCAGTGGTTGCTGTGATGCTAAACACTGTGACACTGATGTGTCTTATACGATAATGGTCACCCATGGTGGACAGCGTTTGGTGGAGCTCCCCGATTAAAACAAGCTTGGAAGCAGGAGTGGCATCCACTTCTGAAATAGCTTGCCTCCGGAAACTCTATCAACTTGGAGAAATGGTGAAAGTTATAAAAGCGTTCAGGTCTTTCATTCATAGGGTCGCTGTGAGTTGCCTGTGACTCAACGACACTTAACGACACAGCAATCCTCATTTAAACTGAAACCTTTAAATCGGCCTATTTCAACACAGTTTCTTAGGATGCTGGCATAAAACAGAATCTTCGTTTTCTTTTTAATGGAAGGGGGCTTTTTTGGAGGGGGATATTTTTCAATCTTCTTCCCTTCCTCCTCCCTCCCCCCTCACCCTGTACAAAAAGAGAACCAGCAAGAACCACATTCCTCGTTTCAGTCTGTAATTCCTGGGTGCTAACCGGAAAAATGTCAGAGGTGTGGTAAGGTCAGCACAGGATAGGGTAGAGTTCAGATCCGCCGTTTATAGACTCACTAGGAGTCGCAGTCAACTTGATGGCACCTAATAATGAAAACAGCCAAAAGAGCAGGGCTTCCGGTGGCGCCGGGCATAGGATGCTGCACTGATAACCCACAGAGAGTGCCTTTCTGTCAGTTCAAAGCCACCAGCAGCTCTGAAGGGGAAGGATGGGCCACCTCTTCCCTCACAACTTCCAGCCTCTGAGAAGCTGCTGGAGAGTCAGCTAGGACTATTCTGACTCGACAGCAATGAGTGAGTGTGAACCTAAAGGGAACGTGTTCGAGACCCAGGACACGTGTTTCCACGGCTGGGGAGACAGCGCCCAGCTCCATTCAGGAGGTCATTTAGTGTTGATCAAGGGTGTTAGTCGTCCGTGCCTTGAACCTGTCGGCTGCCCAGAGTATGCCAGCGGTCCTCCCTTCCGTGAGGGACCCCTAGACTTTGGTCACTGTTCTTCGATTGCGATGTGGAGCGGAGGAAGGAACTGATGTGCAGAGCCCTCCCGGAATGTCCTGGGCCTGGCGACTTGTGCTGGCTCCTGGAAGAACAGTCCCACAGTGTGGGGAGAACCTGGGGCAGGACATGCCACCAAGTGACCCTCTGAAGTCGGACATGCCAAAGTTCCTGCCTGTCCTGAGCCTGGAAAGGCTGAAGTGTTGAAATAAGAGCGGCAGAATTGGGCCTTTAAGCAATGAACTACACAAAATAAAGCCAGAGAGGCGGAAGGGCAGACTGGAGCCAGATCAGCCACCCCCAGGGAACTTTTTGGGCCAATAAAGAGGTTTGAATTTTTGTTTGGGGTGTTTTTTGTTTGTTTGTTTTTTGGGGTTTTTTTAAATCTTGAGAGCAGTTGGAAACAAGTTGTTGTTGTTGATGTTGTTATGTACCGTCGAGTCACTTGCGACTCATAGCGACCCTATGTACAACAGCCCTAAACTCCGCTCTGTCCTGTGCCAATCGCACTGTCTCTGACACTCCCATCCCAATTATCCCAGTCACTGAATCAATCCACCTCATAGAGGGCCTTCCCCTCCTGCACCTGCCCTCCACCCTCCCAAGCATGTTGTCCCTCTCTAAGGACCGGTCTCTCCTCACAACATGTCCAAAGTATGTTAGACGGAGCCTCAGAATCCTTGCCTCCAAGGAGCCATGCGGTTTAACCCTTTCCAGGACAAATCTGTTTGTTTTCCTAGCAGTCTATGGTATTCTCAATACTCTTCTCCAGCACCACAGCTCAAAGGCATCAATTCTCCTTCTATCCTCCTTGGTCATTGTCCAACTCTCTGATGCATAATAAGTGATTGCGAAGACCATGGCCTGTATCAGGCGCACCTTAGTCTCCAGAGAGACACCATTGCTCTTCAGCACTTTGGAGAGGTCCCTAACAGCAGACTTTCCCATGGCAATGCGCCTTTCAATTTCCTGGCTGCTGGTGCCAAGACTGTTGACTATGGAGCCAAACAAACTAAAGCTGTGTACAATCTCAATCTCTTCACCATCCATCCTGATGCTGCCAATTGGTCCAGTGGTGAAAATCTTTGTCTTCTTGACATTGAGCCTCAATCCATATTGTAGGCTGCGGTCCTTGACACTCTGCAGCAGGCACTTCAGGTCCTCTTCAGTTTAAGCAAGCAGGGTTGTGTCATCCGCATAACGCAGATTGTTGATAAATCATCCACCAATCTTGACCCCACATTGGAAACAAGGAAGTCTGTTAGTTAGTGAGATGGGATGTTAAGCTTCGCAGTTTGCAAAGATTTTTTTACTACAATTAGGTGACAAAGGGACTATTTCCTGGGTCCCCTTTCATCACAGCTTTATAAAGAGTTTCTTTAAAAACAACAATAACAAAAGCAGGTCATTCTGCTTAGTTAGTGTGTTGTTATCTGCTGTCTGGTGTCCTCTGTACCTCACTGTGACCCTGTGAGCGACAGGTCTGAACCTTGCCCTGTCCTGTGCCCTCTGCACCATCTCTCACAGGCTTTTTGACTAGTAGCATCCAAGAATTACAGAACGAAGCGAGGCCTGTCGTTCTGACTGGCTCTTTTTTTATAGAGGAGTTGGGAGGGTGGAAGGAATAAGGGAAGACGAGAGCACTCAGTTGAAGATTGAAGAGTAAATATGCTCGAGCCTGTTGTCACAGTCACGCTGTCACTCCATCTCATTGAGGGGCTTCCTCTCTTTCTCCGACCCTCCACCTTTCCCACCATGCTGTCCTTTCGCAAGGCCTGTTCCCTCCTGGCAGCACGTCTGAGGTACATGAGGTGAATGTTCACTATTCTTGCCTCCACAGGGCACCTTTGTGGTTCTTTCTCCAAGCCAGCCTCGTTGGTCCTTTCAGCAGTCCATGGGGGAGTCAGTCAGTCCCCTTCTCCGGCATCACAATCCAAAGGCATCAATCCTTCTCCTGTCTTCCTTAGTCATTGCCTGGGGAGAAACTCAAAGAAGACAGTTCTTTCCCTGAGCGTCGTTTAAGAATTGGTTGCCAAAAATCCACTAACTCCCGTTGACCCGCGATTGGTCGTTCAGGCTGGACCACTTGAACCCGTTGGTCTTGTTAATGCACAGCTCGGTCTGGAGCAGCTGGGTGGGGCGCGGCCCGGTGGGGAGCTGCTCGTTTCCAGGACTCCACGTGGCACCTACGGGTTGGAGGGGGGCTCCCTGTGCTCAGCACCTGGAGGGACGAGGAGAGTGGACAGCGTTAACCAGGTGGTCCCTTACCACACACATTTTACCCCGCTGTGGAAACTCCCCTTTGTCAGTAACGTGAACATGACGAGAAGAACTCACGAAAGGTCAAGAGACTTGAGTTTTGAGTCCTGATCCGCGACCACATTTCCTAGTCACCTCAGACTGTTCATTTCCCTTTTTTGCAAACCTAAGTTCCCTTTCCTTAAAATAAAGGAGTTGACCACAGAATTTTTACTTTTTTATTTTTTTAATAAGCTTGTCCTGACCAGACAAGCGTACGACTCTAGATCTCAACTGCAAGTCTCATCTAATAAAAGACTTCCACATACAGGTCTCTATAGAAACGGCATACCCCCTGGGACGTCTGCCGTGGTGGTGGTGGTGGTGGTGGTGGTGGTGGTGGTGGTAGTGGTGGTGACATGAGGCATTTGACAACTCAAGTAGAGAAAGACTGTGCCTTTACTAAGTCTTGGGTTCTCTTCTATCAGTGGGTCTCCTCAGACTAGGAACAGAGACAGTCAGGCAGCCCCGTGCAGCAGGGCTGTGGCCTCCTGGAGCAGAACGAGGCCGGCCATCTTCACGGGCTGAAAAGGGACGGCCTCTTGAAGCACAAGTCGGTTCCAAGTAAGACAGTGTTCATCAGGGAGATAATAGAGCTTATAACGGCAAAGAGCCTGCACCCTCTTTTGGCCAAAGGCAAAAATGAATGTTGAAATCGGCAAGCACTCACACTGTTGCGTGAGATTCTGAATCGTGGAGTTAACTCTAACACATACAAGTCACCAGCGACAGACTGGACCGGCCCTGCGTGACTATGTGGTGAGGGAGAGTCGACCGCAGTGGCTTCGTCTGACGGAGTAGCACTGCCCCCTGCAAAACTCTATTACCTTTTCCTATACATGTTCCATCTTTGTCTTTCTTAGAGAATATCTTAACCGTTCCTGGCTGTTTACATTCCATGTGAACTTTAGAATCCAGTGTCCATTTTCATTAAGAATCCGTGGTGTCTACAGATGAACTATGGGAAATTGGAATCACTGCATTCAGAGAGGGTGAGGACGGCCCGGCCCAGAACAGGGTTCTGATCTGTTGGTTACAGGGTCGCCGTGGGTCATCCTTGACCTGACGGCCCCTTAACATCAACAACAGTTGAGTTGTCCAGCCCTTGACTGTCGGACATTTTTCCAAACAGAAGATTTTTTTCCTTTCTTATTTTAAATTTATTTTAATGAAAGTTTATAGAGACTTTGGCTTTCCATTCATTCATTGTTGCACATACTTGTTTCTCATTCAATTGTTCAAACATATTTTGGTTTATAACATTGGTTATGATTGATCTATGTAATTAATTAATTGCACTGTCTGATCAGGCCCCTACTGATTACTGCCTTTCCCTTCACCCAAGTTATTTCTTCATCTTTCACTCCTCTGTCCTTCCCTCCCCCTCCCTGGGCAACATGAAAAAAGAATTCACAAAAGGCTGCACAGCATGGCTGTGCTTAGAAGAGGTGAGGCTAGCTAAGTGTGATAAGTTAGTCACCACAGGGCTGTTATGGTTTTGTTGCGATACGCTGTCGGTTCAGAACCAGCTCATAGCTGACCCTCCGACAGGGTTTTAGAGGCTGTAAATCTCATGGGAGGAGATGGTCCATCTTTGAACTGCATGCCTGTGGGTCCGCGGTGCAGTTCCTTACTGCTGGCTGGGCCACCAGAGCTCCCTCATACAGGACTCGGGCTCTGCTCTGAAGAATAAGGCGAAGGTTACACAGCGACCGTCAAATGAGGAAAGCTTTCCCCCTGCCTTACACCTTTCCTTTCTTTTCTCTAGGATTGTCCTTTCATCGTGTGCATGACTTATGCTTTCCACACGCCCGACAAGCTCTGCTTCATCCTGGACCTCATGAACGGTAAGGAAGTCTGAATTCACAGGAAGCCCCTGCCGTGAAGGCCCACCTCAGGCCACATGCATCCTGGCACACCGAGTGGGAATCCGGGCCTTTCCCGTGACTGCATCCCCGTGAAGTTTGGTGAAACCCTTTTCTCGCTCGTTTTCAGCTTAAATTTATTTTACACTGTTGAGTGTGGTTCCCTCTGGCCCTCCTTGGCCTCTGCCCGGGAATGTGCATTTGCTATAAAAATTTTTTCATAGCAGACTCACAGTGAAACTTGATTTTCTGGAAATGGTAGCTAACCTGGTTCTTTTCACCAGCTTGTTCCCTGACCTTCAGCACAGAGATAATACATCACAGGACGAACAGAGGCCAAAGGTAGTTGATTTTAAGTCTCATTGAGTCAGAACTGATTCGTACCTGACCCTCCAGCAGGATTTCAGAGGCTGTAAGTCACATGGGAGGAGACTGCCCGTCTTTCTCCCATGAATCAGCTGCAGGATGTGAACCTCGTGTCTCTGGGTTGGCAGTGCAGCTCCTTACCACTCGGCCAAAGGTAGACAGGTATGAAAAAGCCAGCGTGAAAGGATTGCTCATAGCTCCACAGAGGTTAGGACAACGTCTGCACTGTCTATGCCTGCGGAACTGATTCTCACCCATGAACTTGACCTGAGACACACTTGGAAATTTTCACCCAGGAAACTCATTTGATACAAGAAAACATATTAAGAAAATGTAGTAAGAGTCCTGTGTGGCACACTGATTAACAGTTGGGCTGTTAACCAAAAGATCGAGGGTCCAAATCCACCAGCCTGTCCAGTGGAGATACGAAGCGGGAGTGGCATCCACTCTGTAAATAACACGCCTCTGGAAACTTTATGAACTTTGATAAGTGTTGGTAGTTATAGAAAGGCTTCAGGCCTTTTGTTGATAGGGTCACTCGACTCAAAGGCAATCAACAACAACATCATCCGCTGGGAAAAAATGTAGCAGGGTGTTTTCATAAAGTCTTCGGTCTTGATTGTATGAAAGGAAAGATACCTGTAACAGCTTGGTCAATACTTGAACCAACATGGACTTTTTCCAAGCTTCTCCCTTATCACAACAGTCTTCTCCCGTGCGATTTACAACCTCTGAAAACCCACTGGAGGGTCAGCTAGGAGTTGGCTCCAACTTGATGAAGATGAACAACAAGCCAGGTCATGCATCCACTGGATTTTTTCTTATAACTTGAGATAATATGATTAGGCTGTTTTCCCAACGTTTTCTCAGGTGAAACTTCAAACAGGTGGTCGCATTGAAAGAATATTTCCTGGAACATCTGAACACTCACCACTTTGATTCTACCGGTTGCCCTTTTCATTGCATGGGATACATCAGATTTCTGCTCTTGTGATTGATGTCGTTTTCTGTCCAATGAGCCAATTGATAAGTCGTCCACTGGATTAATATGCTGTTGGATTGATTCACTTATTGGACAGTAACCAAAGCGGATTAACTCAGTTATCCTGTGATAAACGACCAGGAGTGTTATCAACCTGAGGCCAGGGGGTGGCTCTCTTCTCTTAGTTCAGGCAGAGTTTTTGTCATTTTAAAAAATAATATTTAGATTATATTATAAATATTATTATATTATATCATACTATAAATTTTATAATATTTAAAAAAATTTTTGTACATTTTGTGTCCCCTCCTTCTCCAGCCATCCCTGCAATGCACCTCTTGTTCTAGATTATTGCCATACGTATAATGCCTAATCATATATTCCTTTTGGACAGTTCTTCCCCTCATCTGTTCTAATGTAGTGTTCATTATCTCTCCACTCTTTTCCCTCTCTCTCCTCAGCCCCTTCATGTCTGTCCTATTTTATACCAGTGACACTATGCAGTATTTGACCTTTTGTGACTGAGATATTTCACTCAGCATAATGTCCTCCAGGCTCCCCTATGTCGTGCAATGTTTTATGAGTTCATTGTTTTTCGGTGCGATGTAATATTCCATTGTGTGAATATACCATCATTTTTCTGTCTGTTCGTTTGTGGATAGGCACTTGGGTTGCTTTCATTTCTTTGTTATTGTGAATAACATAGCAATAAACATGGATATGCATACACGGGTGTTTGCCTCGCGGCTCTGGTTTCTCTAGGGTATAATCCCAGTAGTAAAATTGTGGATCAAGTGGTGTTGTTCTTTCTAGCTTTTTGAGAAAGCACCAGACCGCCCTCCATAGTGGCTGTACCATTTTACGTTCCCACCAGCAGTAAGTAAGGGTTCTAGTCTCTTGCCAGCATTTGTTGTTTGCTGCCCTGTTGAACTTCGCTATTGTTGCTGGGGGTGAGATGCCTCCTCTTCTCTGTGTTCTTGGAAGCACAGTTCGCCTGCTTCTCCTGGGGCTGGTCTCTCTGGGATGGCAGTGGGACCGGCTTCTGAGCCGGCGGCGTCTGTCCCTCTGGTTTCAGGCGGCGACTTGCACTACCACCTCTCACAGCATGGTGTGTTCTCGGAGAAGGAGATGCGCTTTTACGCCACCGAGATCATCTTGGGGCTGGAGCACATGCACAACCGCTTCGTTGTGTACCGAGACTTGAAGGTAAGACGCGCTCACCCGCACGCACCTTTAGTTAACTGTGGTCGTGCTCCCTCCCGGCGTCCTTCACGTCCTCTGAGCCCTCATCTCGGCCCCAAGAGGCCATTAGATCTGTGTGAGGACAGTCTCCTCTCAGACTGTCCCTGAGGGCGCAGGACCCTTGCCTGTCCTGTTTCTCTTAGGTGCCATCAAGTCAGCTGCAGCCCGCAGCAACCCCACGGGCAGCAGAAGGAATCCAGTGCCACATGCATGGTCTCTGCTGCCCTTAAGCCCATCCTAGCGATCATTAGAACTCCATGACATATAACAGCACCCGGGGCAGCACACACACACCATAGCAACTTTTAATAAAATCACGCGCACACACACATGTTGTTGTTAGGTGCCGTCACATGGGGACTGACTCATAGCTGACCCTCCAGCAGGTTATCAGAAGCTGTAAATCCTATGGGAGTAGTAGATTGTCCATCTTTCTTCCTCAGAGCGGCTGATGGATTTGAACCATTTGCCTTTGGGTTGGCAGCACAATGCTGAACTTGCCCATTAGGCCTCCAGAGCGCATATGTATATATGTCTCCATGTTTGTGTGTGTGTGTGTGTGTGTGTGTGTGTGTATATATATATATATTTGTGTGTGTGTGTGTGTGTGTGAAACATTCTTCTAGGTGGTGTAACCCTGGTCTGTCCACTTGCTGTACAGAGGTAACTAGTGGTTGCTGTGAAGCCGAATACTGTGACACTGATGTGTTAAATGTGATAATGGTTACCCATTGTGAACAGTGTTTGGTGGAGCTCCCCAATTAAAACAAGCTTGGAAGCAGGAGTGACATCCACTTCCAAAATAGCTTGCCTCCGGAAACTCTATGATCTTGGAGAAATGATGAAAGTTATACAAGTGTTCAGGTCTTTCACTCATAGGGTCGCTTAACAACAACAACAACAACAACAACGTGTGTGTGTGTGTATGTGTGTGTGTAGAGAGAGAGATACAAACATGTAGAGATAGATAGATATAGATAGAGAGAAAGAGAGAGAGATAGGTAGGTAATGGTGATTTCAGTGAAGATTTATAAGATTGGTTTCCCATTCACTTTTTATTTCAGAACATCAGTTATTATACCCACAGTATAACTTCACTTTTCCCACCTCCTCCCTGTGGCTTTCATTTCCACCAATCCTCCTACCACTTCTTGTCTCTAGGACTTTATCCTTGGGAAGATGTTGCAGCTGTTGCTCCGTGCCATGGAGTCGACACAACTCATAGCTACTTTATGAATGAATCTGAGCCCTGTCCTGTCCTGTGCCGTCCTCACCGTCCCTGATAACACTCGAGCCCATTGCTGCAGTCACTATATCAATCCATCTTGTTGAGAGTATATCGCAGGAGAGTTTGGGGTGCCACTCATTTTATAATTCATTATAGTTCATTTAATGTCCACTGGGTGACAGATTCGGCCTCAGCTTGGAGTTAGAATTGGGGATGTCCACCTCCGAGCAGGAAAGAAGCAGGCATTTTACGCAGGGCCGAGCCGCGTCTCCTTCCACTCTGTACACTTATATGTTCGCCGTGAGTCGGAGCTCACTCTGAAGCTTCCTCACAACAGCTCCAGTTGGTGGTTGAAGACATAGATTAGTGTAGACCCAACTTCCCTGAAGCAGGACAGCGAGGGGATGAGCGCTGATCAGCCTGCAGTGTTTTCCCAACATCCACCCTCAGTGTCGTTTTATATTGGTTTTGTTTTGTTTATTTTATATTTTTTAAATTAATTTTAATGAACATTTACAGAGATTTTGGATTTTCACTCATTCATTGTTGCTTGTATTAAGACCTTAAAAATCTTCAATAGATTTTTCAGAGCTTCAAACTATCGGGTCCCAGAGGCTGCACTTGAATTCTTATCCCTGTTTTCTTTCAAGGCGGCTAGAATTGAAAATGCTCTTTGGGATTTTCTATTCCAGAGTGTAGGGTTGGCCCAGCGTGCTGCGTTATGGAGGGTGGTGGGCTGGCTCTGTACCTCTGGGTGATGCCCACCTAACTGTGATTGCCACTTGGAGATTAAAAACAAACAAATAAAAAACAAACAAACAAAAACACCAAAAAACAACAAACCCAAATAAAAATAGCTCATTGCCAACTCAAAACTGACCTTCCACTGATTTTCCAAGGCTGTAAATTAGACAGGGAAGAGATTGTCTGTCTTCACCAGAGAACATGAATTCATGTTCAAAATCAATGCTAGTCAGAGAGATGCCAATCAGAACCACACTGAGTCACCACCTCACCCCAGCAGCGGCAGCACAGTTTAACAGGAAAGCAAGTGAAAAATGTTAGCGAAGATGCAGAGAGACTGGCGTTCTGTACTTGCTGCTGGGACGGACTGTAAAATGGCCCAACCACTCTGGAAGGCAGCTTGACATTTTCTCAAAAAAGCTGACCCTAAACGGCTGTTGCACTGCTGGGACCATCCCCTAAGGAAATCAGGACTGAGCCACAGAGATAATGTCCACGTGTGTTCATAGTATCACTAGTTACAATAGCAAGAAAATAGAAAACAAGCCAAATACCAGAGAACAAATGAAAGAAAACTGTGATGCAGCCACACAGTGGAATACTACGCAGCACTAAAGAACAACAGAGAACTCATAAAGTACGATAGCATGAGAGAGTCTAAAGAGCGTCATCTTGAGTGAAAGAACTCAGTCAGAAGGGGACAAATACTGCATAAGATTGCTACTGTGAAAAGAGGAGGGTGGTAACTGAGGGGTGAGGGAGGAAGGGAAGAATAGAAATGTAATGGGTTGACCAAGGACAAGGTCAAGGGAAGATCAGCCTGGACAGAATTGAGATGAAGATAATACAGCTATTGCAATTAGCAAACGGGCACAGATCTGTATAACTGTTTAAAAGGGAAAGGGGAGAAGGGGTGTGGAAGAAAGATGAACTTACAGGAGAGATTAGTGAGGGGGTGGGGAGTGTCAGGATGGGTAAGGAACTGTGGGGTCTTGAGGGAATGGGAAGAGAGATGAGATCAAGAGAATGAATCATATGAACACAAATATGCCACCAGAGTTCCCTACTTGAAGACAGAGATAGAGAAGAGATCATAACTTACAGAAGTGATTATGCAGTTAGCTGTGTACTTACTGATAAGGAAAAAAAACCTTACAGACATTTCCCATTAGGGTAAGAAGAACTCCCAGCATGTGTCTCAGATTCCCACTGCCTCAGAATCCTTCTCAAATGATCCCACAGATTCCATGCCTTGCTGTGTGGAAGAGAATGCCTAAGATTCCTCAGTTAGATTTCCTCTATTAGATGTGTCTCCGCATCTAAAAACTCATTCTCAAGTTTCTGAGCATAGTAGAGAGTACCTTTTTAATCATAAAATGATCCATAATCCCGAAAGGTTTTCTAGAATTGTGAGGAATTACCCCGCCCCCTGCCCCCCGTTTGCCTGTGAGCATCAAAGAAAAAAAAAAAGTAACGTTCTGGAACTAGAACTAATTAGATACTGGTTAGCTCATGACATTTTCTTTCCTCTTGTGAGTTTTGCAGAAGGAACGACTTGATAAGAGGCGCACTGAGCACTATTGTAATCCATCCTCATTTCCATCCATAACCAGTGTCTAATCATTTTTATGCCGTGTTTTTGTTGTCTAAGCTATTTAGTGGCTACTGGTATTATCCAATTTCTATCCCAACTTAATTTTGTCACTCATGACTATTCATGCTTCAGTTTTATAATAGCATGCCATTATTTTTATTCCAAGCAAAACAATAGTCGCTCTCCAGCAGAACAGCATCGTTAAGACGGCAGTAATTCAGTGTTTGCCAGGGAGGGGAGCCTCGCTTTCCAGGATCCTGCCACTAAATCTAATCGAAGCAGACCCGCCTCGCATTCCCAATTGCATTTGGTCATCTTGTCGGGGCCCCAGTGGGTTATGCGCTAACGAGCGGAAATGACTTTAATGGAGTGAGTGTGGGCTTTGTTCTCAGGTCAGCCCTCCAGCACCCCTCTCTGCTCTGTGCCTCCCCAGCCTTCTGTTCAGCAACCAAGAAACTGGGGACCCCCCTCCCCAGGAGGAGAGACACACGACCCCCTGCTTGGTGTTTCTCATACTGTGATCATGCAGAGCCTTGCTACCTCCCTGTGTCCCAGCTTCTGATGTTGAGACCCTTTGATCCCTGTTGTTACCACCTTCCTGCTGCAGCTAACATCAGCGATAGTGACATCTCTGTCAGCATCATATACTAATCGGATGTGATTCTGTTAAATCGCGCTTAATGTCAGAGGAGAGCTCTTGCAGCCTGGTCTGTGGGAAGTGGTGCTGCAAACCCTGGTGGTTCGAATCCACCTGCTTCTCGTCAGGAGAAAGATGAGCAGATTTACGGCCTCAGAAACCCACCTAGAGGGTCAGCTCTGAGTTGATTTCAGCTCCCCAGCGCTGAGGTTTGGAGAATGTTAAGCAGACTTCTGAAGGTAAATGATGAGTAAATCTCCAGTCTCCATGGTAAGACAGTGTGTCATGTGTCATGTGTCAGACAACTACTTGAGGTCAGCAGTTCAAATCCACTTAGCCATGCTTCAGGAGAAAGTCAGGCAGCCTCTTCCTGCACAGAGAGAGCCTTGGAAACCAGACAGGACAGTCCTCTGCTCTGTAGCATCTCTGTGAAGTGGAATCAGCACGAAAGACAGTGGGCTTGGTTTGTACAGGGTTTGAATGGTGCGGATGATTCATGGGCCGGGCTGTGAGCCAGATATTGAAGGTTTTCATTTACCTGGAGGTCCCCCGGAAGAAAGGCCCTCCAGCTCAGTGGAGGTCCCCCGGGAGAAAGGCCCTCCAGCTCAGTGGAGGTCCCCCGGG